AGGTTTGTTCCCAAAATTTTATGGAGTTACCGGAATTCAAATCATACCTGATGTTAGGGGAGAAAACTGGTAGAACAAGGCCATAATGATCAAGTGAAACAGAATCCTTCCTTTCAATTTCAAGCTTTTTTTTGTACTTGAGAGAGCTCATATTTCCTTATTCAGCCCATTTTTTATTTTTCCTTTTCAAGATTTTTGATATCTTCTTCAGAAAACAATGTCTGAAATGCCAATTTAAAATCTTTTGATCACAACTAATGTTTAGTTTTGATCACAACTAATGTTTAGTTACAATTATTCTGGAGATGAAGATTCAATCAAGTTGATCAACTTGAAGGGTCATATATTTTAATACAAAAAGGAAGAAAATGAACAGTTCAATAAGCCTTATATCACGGCTAGATTTGATTGATGCCCACTAACAAATGCAAGTCAAGACTCGAGAGTTCCAATGTTGATACATAAAAGAAGAATTATGTGTTCTCTTGTTTCTCCCTTCAACTTTGAGATTAAGTTATGAGTGAATTATGGAACTTAAGAGAGAAAAGAGAGAGAACTCATTAGTTCAGTGGACTCACTAGGAGTTTTGTTTTCGGAGAAATAAATGCAGATGATCCTAAGTGGCAAGAAATGATTCTTGAACCCAGACCTCTTTCAAATAAGAATTGTCATAACAGACCTTCCAGGATTTCAGGTGGTTTTTTTGAGTTAAGGTAAAAAGACCATAAGAGGGCAACAAGTGATATCATGTGGAAACGGATCTTGACAATTTGCTAACAGAGGGAAGGTCCTTGTCCCATAATTTCACCTGACAGGGAGGTTTAAGTCCAACCTGAAAAGAGAGGGAAGTCTTAGTATTTAGGATAAACATTAGGTGAAGCTTAAGTCTTTTACCCTAAAAATTATAATGGAAACATTGTAAAATATGTAGAAATATGCATTGATATTTTATGAAAGAAGCAACAGAAACACCCTTTTAGATTATTTTGTTTCAGATCATCAAACAAAGCCATAACACTAAGGTTAATAGACAAAATACTACTCCTTTAAGAGTTAAAATTACAAGATAAGTTCAAGCAAAAATTGGACGTAAAGAAAGGGAAAATGATTTCATAGTTTTTTTTATCAATAACGAGAACATTTATTAAAGATATGAAACTATGTGAGGATTAGGTACAAAAAGGAGGTAAAAAGACTTTACTCCCCACCAAAAAAAAAAACAAGGAAATTTCAAAAATTAGCCCAAAAAGTCAACCCTATCCACCCCTTGCTTTGCTAACCCATCAGCAAAAGAATTAGCAATCCTTTTCACCTAGTTGTAATGAACCACAATATCCCTACTCATCCAGTTAAATTTATTCTTCTCATTGTTATAACTCCATAATTCGTTGCCTCCCCCCTTTAGCCACCTAATCACCACCTCCGAGTCACCTTCAAGAACCAAACATCTGATGTTCAACCCCCTTGCTCTTTGGATACCTTCTAGGGCTGCGAGGATCTCAGCCCTAAGAGAGTCTCCTTCCCCAATTGGGCCTGAGAACATAGCAAATAATAGCCTCTGCCTCATA